TACACAAGTAAACTGTAAAAATTCCTGTAGCAATGTTAATTTTTAAGATTTCCTGCTTCTAATGTAAAATAGATAGCTAGTGGGAAGCAGCCACATAGCACAGGGAGATCAGCTTGGTGCTTTGTGACCACCTAGAGGGGTGGGATACGGAGGGTGGGAGGGAGGGAGACACAAGAGGGAAGAGATATGGGAACATATGTATATGTGTAACTGATTCACTTTGTTATACAGCAGCAACTAACACACCATTGTAAAGCAATTATACTCCTATAAAGATGTTAAAAATAAATAAATTTAAAAACTAAAATTGTTGGTAGAACAAAGAAAAAAGATTTCCTGCTTTTTCTTTTTTTTTAATTTATTTGTTTATTTTGGGCTGCGTTGGGTCTTCGTTTCTGTGCACGGGCTTTCTCTAGTTGCGGCAAGAGGGGGCTACTCTTCGTTTCACTGCACGGGCTTCTCACTCTCGTGGCTTCTCTTGTTGCGGAGCATGGGCTGTAGGCACACAGGCTTCAGTAGTTGTGGCTCGCGGGCTCCAGAGCACAGGCTCAGTAGTTGGGGTGCTCGGGCTCAGCTGCTCCACGGCATGTGGGATCTTCCTGGACCATGGATCGAACCCGTGTCCCCTAGAAGTGGCAGGCGGATTCTTAACCACTGCGCCACGAGGGAAGCCCAGATTTCCTGCTTTTTACAACATAAGTCTCACTAGAAACTGATACATTTTGAATGGTAGTCGTGGCTAAAGGTGGTTTTCCATTGTTTATTGAAGATTTGTCCTTATCCTCACAAAGGTAATTTCCCAAAGATGATGAATTTTATGGTATTGTTGGAAGCATGAGACTGTCAGTACTTTGAAGCCTAGAGCAAAATTTCTTCCTGGCTTTTGAAATACATGTTCAAGAAGGCATGCTCTTTAAAAAAAAAGACCCTTTAATCAATACAGAAAATTTGCTTCAGTAAATAACCTATTTTCCAATCACTATCACGCGTCTGGTAGCAACTGCAGTCTCAACACTCACCATTTTGCCTGTGGTTGGTAGCTGCTGCAGATGTCACGTGCCTCAAATAAAGTGACCAGGTTCCAACCCCATATAAGCAAAACTGGGTACAGGCACACTTCATGGTATTGAGCTTCACTTTATTGCACTCCACAAATATTACACTTTTTACAAATTGAAGATTTGTGGCAACCCTATGTCGAGCAAGTCTATCGACACCATTTTCCTTTTTTTTTTTTAACATCTTTATTGGAGTATAATTGCTTTACAATGGTGTGTTAGTTTCTGCCGTATAACAAAGTGAATCAGTTATACATATACATATGTTCCCATATCTCTTCCCTCTTGCATCTCCCTCCCTCCCACCCTCCCTATCCCACCCCTCTAGGTGGTCACAGAGCACCGAGCTGATCTCTCTGTACTATGCGGCTGCTTCCCACTAGCTATCTATTTTACGTTTGGTAGTGTATATATGTATTGATGCCATTTTCAATAGCATTTGCTCACTTTGTGTCTCTGTGTCACATTTTAGTAATTCTTGCACTATTTCAAACTTTTTCATTATTATATTTGTTATGGTGATCTTTGATCAGTGACCTTTTTAAAATTTTTATTGGAGTATAGTTGCTTTACAGTGCTGTTAATCAGTGATCTTTGATGTTACTTTTGCAAAAAGATTGCGACTCACTAAAGGTTCAGATGATGGTTATCATTTTCTGGCAATAAAGTATTTTTAAATTAAGGTATGTAATTTTTTAGCTATAATGCTTTTGCAAACTTAATAGACTACAATATAGTGAAAACATAACTTCTATATGCACTGGGAAACCAGAAAATTTGTGTGACTTGATTTACTATGATATTTGCTTTATCTCAGTGGTCTGGAAGCACACCCACAACATCGTCGAGGTATGCCTGTATCTAAGTGCACGGCTTATGTAAGTGAAACTCACCTAGCGGTGGAGGCTTGTGATTTCGGCCATTGTTGAAGACTTCAGATCTAGGACAGGATCAGATGGTGCCTGAGGGTCAGCATTAGACTCTCAGTTCTCATGCCCCGGTACTGGTTACCGAGCTTTGAATGATGAAATGTCAGATTAAATCAATTCCTACTGCATATTGATACTCAAAAGGCATCTGCCTGGAATTTAGCGTTCATAAAGTACATAAGATTAGAAATAGTGTACAGTGACCTCTGTGCACAATATTAGCAAGAAATTAAGTTTACTGGAACCTCAGAAACACTTGCCTTTATGGAGTTCTGAGGTGAGCACAGCCTCTTCTTACAACTACCTACAGTAAAAATAATACATGGTTCATGGAAATCACCTTATTACTCTCCCAGGATTTTCATTCTGTTCTGATGAATAAAAACCCTTGTGTAATTTGGCCTTCAGCAGTGAATGGTTAGGTTCTGATTTCAAAAGCAAATTTCATTTGACATCCAGCAAAATACATTTGTTATTCAACTGGTTTAGGGCATCCTCAAAGAAAGGATTATTTATTCCAAACCTCAAAGAAATTGCCTGAGAGACTCTGAGTCAATGCTAATGTCCAAATTAGATGAGATCATCTACATTAAAGATCCAATTCTGAAACCCTAGTGGTGCAACAATATTGGGCTAGCAGGCCTACTGCTCAGGGGACATCTAAAACTAGAAGGAGTGGGCTTTCTTTTAATTGGCCTGAGAGAGAGGGCATTGAGCTTTTAACATAGAGAGGCTCAAGTTGTATATCACTGGTACTTTGTTAATAAGTCCTCAGTGTGCCAGGCTTCATATGCAACAATCTGGTGACCTGGCCCTCACCTTAGGATGCATATATTCAGCATCAAGGCAAGAGTATAGGGCATTTGACACTTCCATAGAGTAGGCATTGTATTGTCACCTAATCTGCTCATAGATGCGAAAGACAGTCCTGTGGCAAGGGGGGAAGGGATCCCTAAGGCCCCACTCCCGTGAGTCTCCATACTGTATTCCCAGTATGGCAGCTATGAGAAAAGGGATTTAAAGCACTAGAATCAAACTGCCGCTCCTTGTCAGGTCAAGGATTTTGTTTTCTATTTAGAGAACAGTGTCTGTACACCATTTTTTAGCTGCTCTACACTTATTCTCTTAAGAGAGTCCCTGGTAATTGTCTTAATGGTAATTACATGCTTGGGGCAGTTGACATGCACTGTTATTTTTCAGAAAGTGGGGAACAAGGGACAGGAGCAGGAGAGGAAGAGGGAGAGTTTTGAGATAATGAAATGCTTTTAATGACAGAGCCACACCGTTAACCTAATTAAACTGTAAAGTGGTTTTAAAAAAATCCAGGTACTAAATGGAAATGAAGGCATAAATCAGCTGAGACAGCGGCACTTCTGGGAAACCTTCTGAATTCCGAATACTCTGACATTGCCGTGTCGGATTCTCGTGGTTATTCTCTGTCCACCCCCCCTCCCCGACCTTGTACAGAGGTCTCTTAAACTGACCTGTCCAGTAGGCTTGATTTATGATGTCCATATCAGGTCTCCAGCTCCCCCGGGAGTGTGCGTTATATAGCTCATATATTTAAGAAGCCAGTGCAGTCAGTGGGACATGGTGGCAGAGCACTGGCTACAGGGTCAGGAGAGCAGAGCTCTCCTCATTCTGCTGCTAACCACCTATGGGACTTTGGACACTGTCACTTGGATCACTTTGCCATTTCTGTGCACTCATGGCTTCTGTGTGCTTTTGCACCTGCAACTCTCTTAGAAGAATTGCCCTTGGGCTTTTGGGTTCACTTTGCTCATAAGAGCAGAAAGCTGGAAGTCCTTGGGAGCTTACATCCCATGAGGCAGCCCTTAGCCATTGACTGGCTGATGCTGAGGCTGACAGCCCAGCTTTCATTGCATCTAATCAGGACAGACTCTGAGGTGTAACTTACACTCTGGAGTTTCCTGTGGAATTAGGCTGAAGCCACTCCCGCAAAACTTTGTCTGAAATCGTGCCCTTGCTCGGTTTCCTTCTCTTCCCTGTCCTGCTTCCCCCACCTCCTTGCTGATTGATTTCTCTTGGGAGTGTTTCTTTAATAGATGCCATGAATCCACACCAAAGAGCCTGCTCTGGGTAATTTAACATAAGCAAGCACCTACTATAAAAGCACCAGCCTCAGTTCCAATATCTAAAACTTGGAGGTGGTAGTGCTTGCCCTCAAGAGTGTTACAAAAGGTTTGCACAGTGATAGGACTAAAGCACTGGACAGGTTCACAGAGGGTTTCTTGCTAATTTCTTTTTACACCGTTGTCACCCACAACACTGGGAGTGGAAGGTGGCGTCCTCTATGACAGGGCACCCACCCTCTTCCCACAGCTGTACACCCCCAACCCCACCCAAGCTGCTATGCTCCCCATTCTCTATTTTGATCTCGATCACTAATTTCCATCTGACCTAGCAGTAATTAACAAATCTTTTTCTCTCATAATCAAAGACAGGGATCTTATGCAATCAGCCCAGGGATTTTACTTTTATTCCCATTGGTGTACGTCTCCAAAGAAAAGCACTAGGTTTATAGGTGAGGGAGGTCTTTGGTTTAGTGGGTAGAAGGGAAAGTTAAGAGACTTTTCAGAAGCCACATCAACTCCATCACTGATTCACAGTAGTCTTGACAAGTCCATTTGACATCTCACTATGTTCATCTCATCAGTGACAGAGCCATTAATGTTTATAGACAGTCCACTAGGTACCTGAAATTATTCTAGGCCCTGACTTTCTCTTGAAAAGCAGAGGAAGTGTCTATGATGCACCCACAGTAGTGGGTGAAGATTAATTAATGTAAATAAGTAATTGTCTGAATAATGCAGAGCACCAGGACACCTCACAAATGGATACTGTGTAAACATTACACTGGATGAGTAATGACAGCTAAGGGTTGATGGACAAATTTCCAGCAAATTTAAAGTCTCTGTCAACCAGTGAATGAAAGGAAACATTTTCTTGATAGTTCATAATGGATGCTTTTGTTTTTCTGACTGCTGAGGCCGGGGAGAGAGACAGAGAAGTGAGCAGCCTGAACAGCAAGCTCTTGAGCCTGCAAGCTGACATCAAGAATCTACACGATGTCTGCAAGAGACAGGGGAAGACCTTGCAGGAGAATCAGCTCTGTGTGGAGGAGGAGATGATGAACAGCAGCCACGTAAGGGATTCAGCATCCGTTTCCCACCTCTGCCCCCTCTGCTTCCACCTCTGCCCCCTTGGGCAGGACCAATAATAGAAGGTTCTTCCGCTGGTCATTCAACAGCATTTATTGAGCAAGCAGTGAGAAAGAATTAAACACACACACCCTAACACACACACACACACACACACACACACACACACACACACACACACACAAATGCCATCCCTGCCCTCAGGATTTTTCAATTTAGCTACCTCCAAGGTCATCTACATCTGAGCCTCTGTCTTTTCCTTATCTGGCCTTTTACACCTGGCTTTGCAGCATCTGAGGCCCATTGCCCTGAAAAGACCAGATCATAGTTATATAAAGAGAGTAGCATCTCTTAATGGATTTTAGACAAACTTCTAAATCACCCATGAAAATAACAACCATCCCACTTGCTCCAAGGTGTCACTTCCTATCGGTGCAGCAGGAGCTCTTTATTGCCACACCCGCAGCTCTCTGCCTACAAGCTTTTCTTCTGGAAGCAGGAACCCAATCATAGGACAAGATGCAGTACAGAAGAGTTAATACACCTAGAAGCAGCCCTCAACCAAGGACTGATGGGGAGATGGTTGATTAAATAACCTATCTCCCTTGCCCTATCTCACTGGAGATAACTCCAGGCATGCTCTTTGCTCTGTCCCAGAGTTCCTCAGTGGGGCCCAGTATCAGTTGCCCAACAGTGGTAACTAGGTTGGTAACACACCCTTTCACAGTTTCCTTCCCTGCCTTGTTCATTTCCCCACTCCCCCTACCTGAGTTTCCTAAAATCACCTTCCACATAAGCTACTACTTGACGTCTGGTTCCTTGCCATAGGACTTGCTTCCAGAGGTGCCCAAGCCAAGATACTCAGTAACACCTGTCCTGAACAGGAGGACCTCCTGGCATGATCATCTTTCTTGAGACTGTGATTTTGAACTAATACTTATCCATAGCCTAGGCAGTTCATCAGCTGAGACAACTTCATTTCACCCTGAGGTTTTCTCCGTTGGAAACTCTAGCTCTAAGCTCTTTAAGCCAGCCTCTAAATTTTTCCACACAAGCTGGGGAGCCAGCTGGGAGATATTTTCCCATAGCTCTGTAAACACTTTGGGTTGCCAAGGACTCCTAACTTGCAGTCTTCATTTCTGCTTAGGGACTTGAGTCCTTGGCAAACATAAGGCAGGTACTTGTTGCACAGACCTGTTGTTAGACCTCCAAGTTAGCCTCTTAGGTGCTGTGTAAACAATCACCATCATCTTCAACATTTGCAGTCAAGGACCTGGTCTCTCTTAATTGTGTCTGTTCTCCCAGGACTTATCACCTCCCTATAAGAGCCACAAATTGTTCCTCTGCAATGCCCTAAAAATGCTAACAACAAAGTAATTCTACCTTGTCTTACTGAGCACTACTGTCCTTTCTGTAGGAAGTCACAAATATAGAAAAATCCATTGGTTTTCCTAAATGGATCCCAGGAAGAATATTACCATAATTTATTTTCTTTCAACGTTTTAAGATATTTTCACCATTGCTGTTGCAAGTTTATTTATTCCCCCAGTCAGGGAAAGCCATGTGGCAAATAAATGTACCTGGCAACTTGGAGGGAGAAAGGTATTGTCACTTTTTTATTCTAATTGCCCAGAAGAAGGTCGAACAGCTTGAAGCAAGCTTTAAAACATGCTCTTTTTTCCCCAGCACTTAGTGCAGAATTTAAATTGCAGACTACGAATACAAATACACAATTAGATGTAGACTTAACACTCATCTACTCAGAAAATCATGCAAGATCTGCCTTCCACAAGGAAATATAAGATGGGAACAAAGGGGGAACCCAAGACTTTCTGAAATTTTGACTAATATCTGACAAGGAGCTGGAGAAATAAGCAGGAGGTCATAGTTCAGGACACAGTTGTGTGAAAAAATCAAAATATTATATCAGATGTTATGTGTAACTAAAGGAGTGGCAGGCAGAGGGTAGGTGACCTTGTAAATCAAGAATACATTGTGCTCCAAATCCCACAAACAGAGAGAGCTGTGCCTAGGGAAAACCAAGTGAGGTGCCTAGGGTGCAAAAAGTGCCAACCCTGTACTTGCTCAACCCTGAGACTGAATGCCTCCTTTAAATTTGCACATCACTTGCCTCACTCTAGTCCCAACCCTGCTCACGTATCAAAAGTGCCTCCATTAAAGTGAAAGGAGAAAATGACAACAGATATCATAGTAAAACGATGATGAAACCAGAAAAAGAGCAGTTTCCCAGGCTCCTTTGGCCCTGATGGTGGCCTGGAGAGAATACCCTGATATTCAGTAGAGTTTGGATTGCCAAACTCATCTTTGCAGTGGACTGAGGAATTATTTTTAGCAGAAAACTGTAAGAAATTTGATTTCTGCAGATAAAAGTAATTCATTGAATATATAAAGTTTAATACACTCGATGGAAATTATCACACAAAGATATCATTTTGAATCATTGGGAATAAAAAAAACTTTAAGAGAAATTTCTAAATGCAATGTGGGATCTAGGATTGGCTCCTGGAACAGGAAAAAAAAAAATAGTAGAAGAACTGATAAAATCCAAATAAACTATGTAGTATAGGTAATAGCAATTTACCAATGTTAACTTCCTAGTTGGACAAATGTACCATGGTTATGTAAAATGTTAACATTAGGGGAAGGTGAGTGAAGAGTATATGGGAACATTCTGTACTACTTTTGGAATTTTTCTATAAATCTAAAATTATTCCAAAATAAAGAGGGTTTTTTTTTTTTAACTGAATCTCTGGTAAATAGAGATCACTGATAAGAAAAATGTCTAAACCATGAAGATGTGTCCAGAAGAAATGGATGTCACTGAAACACACAGTTCTACACTCTACCAATATAAGAAAGTACAAGAAATGCAATTTGTAGAAGATATAAAAAGTAATAGGTGAACCTATCTAGTGATATAAGGCTAAACCAGGCTGACATGGGAAATATCTCACTTCCTACCTCAAAGATAGGGAAGGAAGTTCTGACAAGGACTGGGAAAAGATGGGGCTTTTCCTCTGAAATGAAGAAAAATAAAAATTATCAGGGATTCAGTTTTCAGAGCAATGCTAACCTGAGCAGAAGAGTCAGAACAAACTAGGAGAGAGAATAAAATGGTTTAAAAGTATTTTGAAAAGCCGGCTTTAGGTAAAGCAGCAGGACCTGATGACATACTTCGAAGAGAAGCAGCCGCACAGCACAGGGAGATCAGCTAGGTGGTTTGTGACCACCTAGAGCGGTGGGATAGGGAGGGTGGGAGGGAGGGAGACGCAAGAGGGAAGAGATATGGGAACATATGTATATGTATAACTGATTCACTTTGTTATACAGCAGAAACTAACACACCATTGTAAAGCAATTATACTCCAATAAAGATGTTAAAAAAA